CACGCACAGACACGCAAACGCAAACTCAATGAAACGACCAAATTCTTTTCAGTTGGAAAAAGCCAGTCGGCTAATTTGTATTCTTCAATCATTTTCATTTGCCAAACCAGGGCCTAGGTATCGTTCTTGTATCGATTGGGCTGTGTATATACCTGGACAAGTACAGATCTGTGTACGCCCACATCCTCAATGAGATACCTGCTTTCGGTATTTTAATCGATTTCGAAAAGATGCACATTCTATTCGTGAGTATCGGTGTCTTTGTGGGTCTCCTCAGTTTCCTAGGATGTTGTGGAGCTTGCTCGGATAGTGTCTGCTTCCTATCGATGGTTGGTTGGTTGATTGGTTAGATGGTTGGCTGGCTGAATGGTTGGCTGGTATATACACTTTAAATTATCAATTTGATAATTTAAAAGTGTTGTTCACCGTTGTGGTTGGTTGATTGGTTGGTTGGTTGGTTGGTTGGTTGGTTGGCTGGCTGGCTGACTGGTTGGTTGGTTGATTGGTTGGTTGGTTGGCTGGTTGGATGGTTGGTTGGATGGTTGGATGGTTGGCTGGTTGGTTGGTTGGTTCGTTGGTTCGTTTGTTCGTTCGTTCGTTGGTTCGTTGGTTCGTTTGTTGGTTATTTAATTAATTAAATAATGAATTGGATCATTGATATTTTTCAGCTATTCAAGAAGCTTACGCTAAAAATTTGTCGTTTTTAAAATTATACTACGGATTTTAAAATTCAACTTTTTCACTATCATACTGTTACTGCGTCTTTCTTTTGATAAATATTATTACTACTACTACTACTACTACTACTACTACTACTACTACTACTACTACTACTACTACTACTACTACTACTACTACTACTACTACTACTACTACTACTACTACTACTACTACTATACAACACACAACTACTACTACTTCTACTATTACAACTACTTCTTCTTACAACAACTACTATTACTACACTACTACTACTACCACAACTACTACAACTGCAGCTACTACTACTACCACAACTACTACAACTACTTCTTTTTCCCACAACAACTACTTCTACTACTACTACTACTAAAACTTCAACTACTACTACTACCCTACCTCAGCTACAACAACTACTACTACTCCTACTACTGCTACTACTAAACTGTAACGAAATCATTACTACGCCTACTTCCTCTAAGGTAATTACTGCAAGCAAATTTGGTCTGGGGCTCTTGATAGTAGTAGCGTTGAGGTGGTAATGATAATGATTATTGGTTGGCCAGCCGGTTTAGGTCATCTATCATACGTCAAATATCGTTCAATCAACCTCTATTATTTCTCTGTCTATCTTTTTTCCATTTGGTACACGAATATCCTCTGTGTGTGTGTGTGTGTGCGTGTGTGTGCGTTTATATGTGTATTTCTAATGTGTTTTTATTATACAAATTATGAATGTGTGTTTGTGTGGCTATGTGAATTTACATATGTGTGTGTGTAAATTATGAGTGTGTGTGTTCATTCATTCATTCATTCATTCATTCATTCATTCATTCATTCATTCATTCATTCATTCATTCATTCATTCATTCATTCATTCATTCATTCATTCATTCATTCATTCATTCATTCATTCATTCATTCATTCATTCATTCATTCATTCATTCATTCATTCATTCATTCATTCATTCATTCATTCATTCATTCATTCATTCATTCATTCATTCATTCATTCATTCATTCATTCATTCATTCATTCATTCATTCATTCATTCATTCATTCATTCATTCATTCATTCATTCATTCATTCATTCATTCATTCATTCATTCATTCATTCATTCATTCATTCATTCATTCATTCATTCATTCATTCATTCATTCATTCATTCATTCATTCATTCATTCATTCATTCATTCATTCATTCATTCATTCATTCATTCATTCATTCATTCATTCATTCATTCATTCATTCATTCATTCATTCATTCATTCATTCATTCATTCATTCATTCATTCATTCATTCATTCATTCATTCATTCATACATA